CAGCTTTCCACTCACATGGCGCAAACGACCAGCGCCACGTTTGTTGGCGATCTGCTTTGTGGCCGAGTTGTCCACCCAGCAGATGTGGTGAGCTGAATCACCAGTGAGGAACTCCAAGGCGTGCTTGATGCAAATGCCATCGCACGCTCCAACCACAAGAGCCTGCAATTCGCTCTCTGCCGATGAAAGGCTCACTACCTTCTGACCCCGGGAGGTGTTGTAGATGACCATGCCATTCAAGCCATGGATGGATGAGGATGTACTCCTTCTCGTAGCCCGGTTGCCGCTCCAATCGGCATCAGTGAAGCTCTCCAATAGCCACACCTCATGGCTGTGTCCATGCAGTCCTTCTCCCTGAACTGGCAGTGGGAGTAGGATGTGTTGGCCTTCTGTCTCCTTGAGATACCCCACTAGCCTTCGTGCCTTCTGCATAGAGAGCTCGGTGGGGCTTGCCATTTTACTTGCCAGCTCCTTGACCACGAAGCTGATGTCCAACCTCTCCTGGGCCAAATAGATGTTCATGCCCACAATGGACCGATAGATTGCAGCATCTTCTTGGGGCACCACATTCGATCCATCAGCATCTTGGATATCAGTGGTTGCTGGCAATCTCTGTTTTCGGACTAGGCCATATTTATCTTCGAAGGCCTTGATCATCTTTGTGGCATACTGTCCTGGTCTCACCAAAAGGCCTTCTGGGACATAGGTGTACTTGCGCTTCAGGTCCTCATTGTGCTCCTTGATCATGGAGACCTCTACGTCGAACTTCTCCTTCAACTTCTTCACGAAGTTCTCTACAGGGACTTGGCGCCCAGTGAACATCACATCGTCCACATGCACAAGGACACAAATCAGATTACTTCCTGTGCCCTGTTTTCCCAAGCATGGGTTCACCACGTCAAAGACAAACGAGAGTTCAGTCTCCAGGTACTCTCGCAGGAACTCGTACCAGGCCTTTGCGCCAATTCTCTGGCCAGGGATGTTCTTCAAGACCTTATAGCATCCTGTAGCCGTGGTGATCTGCAAGGGTCGTTCCTGGGACACTTGCAGGAAAGCATCTTTGATGTCCAGCGCTCCAAGAACTGGTAGTCCTTGGCTTCCTTCAAGGCCTTGGCTCACCACCACGTTGTTCAGGAACAATGCCGGGAGCAATCTAAGAACATGTTGTCCTGAAGCAGGGCTGTAGACCTCATCACATCTATCGTTGGCATACTCCTGTGCCACCAGCCTTGCTCGACGAAGCCATCGCTTTCGTGTTCCACCATCAGCCTGCATGTAGTTCTTCACCCAGGGACGAACCTTGTTGTTAGCCGATCCAGGTGCACGTCGTCCACCGTGAGGGGCTCCAAGACGTTCATCCTCATCAATCTCTTCTCCTCCATGCACTTTGTTTGCCAAAAGATCCACCTCCAAGTCTGGCTCTGGGGGTGTCCTCGTCAGAGGATGGTCACTCCATAGCCCTTCAGGGATTGCGCCAGGTTCCAAATCCTCAAGGTCGTCTTCTCCAACACACACCTTCTCGACCCGTCTCTCGACCATGTCCTGGTGCTGCGATGAACTTGATCCACCTGGTGGTCCATCCAGCCGAGCTCGCTTAGCCTCTGGTTCAGCCTTGACTGCCGTCTCTGGAGGTGGGAGCTTCTTCAGGATTCTCCCTTCAGGAGGTACCTCACTTTCTTCCTTCTCCCATGGTAACGGCTCAAAGAGCACAGGGATGTCTCCTCCTGCGCCCCTTTCCCCAGGTTGATCACCAAGAGCTGGGGGAGTCTGCGGTCCTTTGCTGCGCTCATCCAACTGCGGGGCAGGTGGTGCAGGACCTCCAGGTTCATCAGTCATCAGGTTCACGAGCTTCTTCAATTTCTCTTTGACTCTCCTCAAGTCCCTCTTTCGACATGGCGTAGCGCTCTACCTCCTCTGCCTCCTCATCTCTGTACCTGAAGATGATCTCGTCCCAAGGTGGCGCAGGCCCCAATTGGAGAGGTACTGCGCTTGTGGCTCGCTTGCTTGGAACAATGCGGCCACCAAACTTGATCTGGTACTCGAAGGTGTAGGTGGCAAAGTTCTGGTAGTAGGCACCAAAGTTCTTCCAGGGCCTGTCAACCCTCCTGACTTCATCGTGTGAGCATCACTTGGCCTCCATCGCCCGCAATCCATGAATCTTGGCCTTCCGTCTTGCCCAGAAACAATGTCATCCTCCACCGTGGATTTCCCTTGCCAGACTGAGGCTTGACACCGGGCATCCAAAGGGGGCCAAGGCACCAGTATAGGGTTTGCCATGCACCAACTCGTGGCTAGTCGTCCCTCTCGTGGCCTGGAACTTGTTCAACAGCCAACATGCATGCCGCGCAGCCCAGCTCCATAGGCCATGCATCAGGGTGCATGCTAGCCCACGAACTCGTTGAATGGCGTTTTCCGCCAAGGAGTTTCCAGCAGAGTCCTTGACTTTCGTTGTGTAAAGTCGAGTTCGAAGGCCCATCGCATGCCTGCTGTTCAGCAAAATCCTCAGCAACGAACGAATGGTGGGTTCGTTGTCTCCATATAGTCTGCAATCTCCACATGGCCGAGGGTTTGCGCAAAGTTCATGATCTCTCGGGCCATCAAGTTCAACTGTCCTTTCGACTGGAGTGGCACTGCTCCCAAGCTTCCAGTCTGGCTGCAGACCATAATGAGCCATAGCGCGGGCTTCAACTCTTTGATCCTTGGCTCACGTGGATCTTCTGGCTCTTCACGATCATAAAGATCAATCACTTCACCATCTTCTGGATCCTGACCTCTGTCTCGAGGAACTGGTGCTCTGTCAATCTCTCCAGCCTTCGTGTAGGCAAAGTCCAGCGAGATGATCGGGATTCCACCAGTGTGTGAGGCTCCAGTCCTTAGATGTCTATCAGGCCGTCCTCGGTGTTGCAAACAGGCCTCGCATCAAGGTTGGTATGGCACATGGGTCAAAGCATGTAGGTCTTGCACCTGCTTGGATGGTACTGGAATGATGCTCTGCATCTTGGGCTGTCGAGCCATCTGCAACTCGGCTGCTGCTACAGCTTCAGAGGCAGCCTTCAGCTCACGTTCCTTCAAGTGGCTCGCAATCCTCTGGAAACACTTCATGCGGCTCCCAGACTGGCTAATGCCAAAGAAGTGACATGCAGCACGTAGTTCTCGAAGTCTGCTGGTTGGGGTCAGCTGGATGTCATTCACAACGACATGGTCTGGCAGACCGGCCTCCAGCACTAGACGTCCTTCTTGTTCTCCAGCTCCTCCTCCGTCAGCACCTTCTGCAACTGCAGGGATAGCGTCAGCTGCAGCTTCTTCCATAGCATGTTGAGGCTCTTCAACTGGGATCTCATGTTCCCTCAAGGCCAAAGCATCGTCCACCTTCGGCTTCAAGTCCAAACCAGTGTCCACTTCAAAGCCCATCTCCTCAGTGCTCATATCTTCTGCAGTGAGGATCGTCAAAACCAGGGTTCTCTTCGACAGCGTCAATGATCTCCTCCTGGTTGTCTAACCCATGCAGATTTTCACACATCTCATAGAGCTGCCACTGGTCCTTCACCTTCACGATGGTGGTCCTCTTCCAATCTGCAGTGGAAGGAATCTCTCCCACGAACTGTGGGGTTTGAAGCCTCTTTGCCAAGTGCACACCATCCATTGCCGCTGCAGCTGCTGTTGGTGAACCAGCTGCTTCCCCCACTCCGGCCATGGCCACCGAACACAAATTCAAGGACCTCCTTGGGCTTTCTGATGTGGCCCACCCTCGGGCAAAGGGCCTATGGCACCCACTAGAAAGGAGCCTCTACCGGTCCCCTCAGGGGAACCGGCTTCGCAGGCTCCGCTACCATGCGAAGCTTTTCACGCTCGTGCCAAGTAGCGGTCTAGTCAAGACACTTCTCGATATGTGCGTGTCATCCTTCGATGAACTGCCATGAGCCAACTCTTGAGTACTTACCATTCACGCAAGCAGAATCGGATTTGAGGATCTAGGTGAGGTCATTAAATTTGGGCCACGGGAGCACCATGCTTACATGGTTTGAAGCCCGCCTTTCAGCTTCCAGAATGAAAAAGTGCATACAAATTGGGATGGTAACTCGCAACAAAGATGAGAAGACAGAAGACTGTTTGACACGTGAATGCATAATAGCCACCCTGTGAAAGGTTTGCCCACAAAACCTGATGAGTGCGACTTGAGAAAACAGCCGCAAAGTTGAACATGTAGGACAGTAGGTTGGTGGCAGATGTCACGGTTGGTGGCAGATGTCACGGCCAAGTGCATTGACAAACAAAAGGGTTTGCTCAGCCAAACCATTCTTAATCCCTTACATAAGCCCTGTAAATTGGACTGTTTAACCAGCCACCAGCTGCGATCATTCATCCCATAAAGGGCAGAGCCACAACGCGGATGTTCCGTTTAAAGAGCGCGCAGCAGCCATCTGATAGCAGGCACGCAGCTGCCTGGGAGTACGGGCGCAACCCAATGCGCAGACATTTCATCTATTGGGCGGTATTTCTCGAGCCGAAGAGTCAAAAGTTTTCTTTGTTGCAGTATGCAGGTTCAATATTTTAGACCGATCAACACTTTCAGCAGACAGTAAGTGCATTGCTTCGCGGATGAAGGGCAGCGCCCCAAAGGTGCAAACTGCCACACGCGGCCATGCGTGTTGCTTTCCTTCAGTATATTCTTGTGTTCTCCAACCTGTTTTTGCCCAGATTGCACCTTCGATGGTGCTGCGGGGCGAAAACTGAAACACATCCCATCGTTGGAACATGTACAGTACATCCCATACGTCCAAGACCTAACTTCGAAGCGTGGCGACGTGCAGCTGGTGCCAAGCAGATACATGCATGATTGCGATCGCAGTGTTTTGCTTGACATGACTCGACAAGCGTTCTATTGTTTTGTCCTTTCTATGTTCTATCAATGTGTATCCTTTGTGTAGCTCTGCGCTCTGGCTGTTGCGCGAATTTGCGGTCCTTCTACTTCTTTGGTCGGCGATCTCTTCAAGACTGAGGCTCAAATGACATTTGCAACCCTTCTGCTCTCGGTTGGATGCCAAGCTTTGAGCATCTTTGACATTTCATCCAGTACTGACTCTTTGATTTTTTTGCATTTTCCCATAAAGCAGCAGCAGCAGCAGCAACGACAAAAACGCCAATGGCAATAGGAATGACACGTCGCATTAGGTCACAGCAACGACAACCACACCAAGTAGGGCCTGTGGACACCAGCCTGGTCAAGTCGTGTGTTCCGTATTTTTTGAACTGACGCAAGTATTGATGTAATCGTGTAGCGACAAAGTACTGGAGTCTTGAAAGTCTAGTCTTTTTTGTGTCAGGTCCCGGCCTCGAAACTGAAAGCGCTGGAAGGATCGGATGCAATTGATGCATGAGGGTCATACGACGGCGAGGGGTTCGGGATGTGAAGTCAATTGCGCGTCCCTGCTTAGGGTGGTGTCCTATGGCATGGGTGTGTGCGACCCAGCCACGTTCCCAACCCCTCATCCCCCATTGGTTTGCCCAACAATTGCTGTCTATTCAGCCCAACAATAGCCGGTGGTTGAGTCCATTCCCACTTCTTCACAGCCGGTTGTCATCCGCGCCGCCCCGACGGAGAATTAGCGTGAATTGGCCTTGCGCTCCAAAACGACCCTTCAAAATGTCTTCTAAAGTGACCCCCCAAAGTGTGTTCTAAAGTGAGCCTGTTGCCTCATACTACGAGGGTCGTACGCGTCCAGACGCTCTCCCGACACAACAGTTCAATTCCCCAAATGTTTGGTCAAGCTGGTGGGTTTTTGATTTCCTTTTGGACCCTTGTGAGTTTTGGATATCTTTAGCAATTTGTCAGGATTCTGTTCAGGGTCAAATAAATACTTCAATTTCAATACGGTGTTTTTGCCAGCGATTTCAGTTCCAGGCATGAATGCCACCTGCCGTGCCGTCTTGTCCTATGCCAGCCGGCATATGGCCCGTGTCGAGTCGCTCCTGCAGAAGCGTCTTGGCCTGCGTCCGGATCGCTTTAAATTCGCTAGTGGTTTCACTTGCGCGGTTCATGTTTTTTGAGAACTTCTTCATAGAAGGCACGCAACAGGCATTCTTTCAAGAACAAACGGTTTGCAATTCCGAGAGTCAAGCATTGGATGAAACATCAACAGAAAAAGGCAACTTTTGCGGTCTGCGTTGATGAAAGTTGGCGCCCAAGGACCTACCTCTTCGACCTCATCTTGCAAGGCAGTAGCCAAGGTCTGGCCACCAAGGCGCGAGTGTAAAACAACGCACGACAAAGCACTCGCGCTCAAGAACAACAAACGCATACACGATTACATTAGCATACATAGACAAATAAAATTCATATTAACTTAATTATTGGATGGTAGGCCATAAGGAGGTCAACTTCAAGAGGTAGGTAGTAGACGCTAGTAATTGGTACTAGAGCCTGAACCCGGTGTCCTCCAAATAGCAAGTGGGTGTCCAAATTTCTACCCGTCCGGTAAGCTCCAAAGCACAAGCTGGCAGTTTTTTCCACTCGAATTTGCTGCAATTTGCAAACAATCAGCACTTGCACGCATCATGTGGCATCCCATTCAAAACCATAATGATAGCAAATAGCGCCAAGTTCAATTACCAGGCTCCATGCGCACATTGCAACCCAGCCAGCAGGTCAAAAGGTTGAATCTTCGCTTATGCTATTTTTCACCTTGATCGTCCATGTGCACATCGCCTCAACAAGCCGCGGCTCTAAGAATCACGAAGCTTCAAGGCAACCTTCAACGGACGCGACCGTTTTACTCGAACAACTCTCACCTCGTCCTAAAGCCCCTCCAGAAGCTTAAAGCTTCAAGAAGCACACACCACAAACTCAAACAGGTTGTGGCTGCCAGTAAACTGGCACACCGGCTGCTAGCTAGCTGGCAGTCAAATTGCCTGCCAAGGTTAAGCGCACCCAGCTCAAAGCCCCGGCCCTTCTGCTTTGGTCTTTGTTGGAAACTGAGGTGTCCTTGCTGAACCAACACAATTTAACAGTAAAACCGTGACAAGTCCTTTACGCCAAACAGGTTTGGCAACACCTCATTACTCCAAGTGCAAAGCGGTTGGACCCTAGGTATACCAAGTCTTCGAAGTTTTCCTGGCCAAACAGATTTGGCTGGCTATATTTTGACGGGTTTTCTTGGCCAAATGGATTTGGCTGGTCAAATTGTGACGGGCTTTCCCGGCCAAATGGATTTGGCTGGTCAAATTGCGACGAAATCCATTTGGCTGAGTGGTTTTGCTCAGATAACCCATCGCAATCTGGAAGCTCGGCTGGCCCCAGAAAAGCGATTGGTTTTTTAAAAAACCCATCACAATTCCATTGGCTTCGGAAAAACCCCATCACTTTTTGAAGTTGGGGATGAGCTGGAAAGTTTAACGGGCTTTCGTTTTCCTTACTCCATTTAACTGCGACGGGCTTTTCAAAAAACCCATCACATTTTGGGGCTGGGGCCCCGGTGAAACGTGACGGATTTTCCCGGCCAGATCAATTTGGCTGGCAAAATTGGGACGGGTTTTCCGTCTCCAACTCATTCATTCCTGCCAGGCCCCATTGATCGAGCTTGGCCGGGCGCAAGGCGCTGAAGCTTCGGGCGCACATTGCACCTACAAGCTTCAGGTGTTTGCATCCGACTGCTCCAATTATAATCTTCCAATCCAAGATCGTTGAGCCTCCGCTCCTGAGCACCAATACAAGGTAAATGTTAAACCGAGAAAGTTTCACACGTCCAAGCTGGGCATATGAGCAATCAGCGTATAAGCGCAGTGGTTGGTGCTTCCAGCTGGCTCAGGCAAACCCTCGGGGCCGCACAGACCTACATCAACACATGACTCCGCAGAGGGTCGAAAAAGATCTGGCAAATAGTGTGAAGTACGAGTTGGACCTATTGAAGTTGCAACGTCCCATCAAAGTCAAGCCTTTCTTTTTGCAGCTCTGAAGCGAAAGCTCTATCAAAATGTGGCGCAAAACTTTTGAAATAGTGGTGCTTGGCTGTGTCGCCAGAAGCGGTGGATAATGTTCCTGGTTGCGAGGAAGGAGATGGTCTCTGCGGACTCTTCATACGTAACGTCTCCATCATCATCATCATATCTCCACGCTGGCATGGCTGCCCACTACGAAGAAATCTAAGTTCTTGAAGTTCCATGACTGTATATATAGGTCAGTCTTGCGTGTATCAGGCGCGTGTGGATGTTGCCTCATTCTTAGAGCTCTTTGCTCCCAAGCAGGACCAAAAAAAAACTACATGGCTGTGTTACATGCTTTTAACGGAGCCAGCAAGAAACTTGACAACAAGGTTCTATTCCAAATCAAACGCCCACTTGCTATTTGGAAGACACCCGGCTCAAGCTAGATGAGCCTTACTACTGCTACTACTACTACTACTACTACTCCTGCTGCTGCTGCTACTGCTACTACCACCACCACTACCACCACCACGACGTACCACGACGACGGCGACTACTACAACGACGACAACTACTACTACAACTACCACTACTTCCACTACCACTACCACTACCACTACTACTACTACTACTCCTCCTGCTGCTCCTACTGCGACTGCGACTACCACTACCACTACTACTACTACTACTACTACTACGACTGCCACTGCTACTACTACTGCTATAGCAGTGGTAGAAGTAGTAGAAGTTGTCGTCGCAGTAAAGGTAGTAGTGGTGGTAGTACTAGTAGTGGTGGTGATGGTGGCGGTAGTAGTGAGTACTAGTAGCAGTAGCAGTAGTAGTGAGTAGTAGTAGTAGTAGTCGTCGTCGTCGTCGTCGTCGTCGTCCTCCTCCTCCTCCTCCTCCTCCTCCTCGTCCTCGTCCTCGTCCTCGTCCTCGTCCTCGTCCTCGTCCTCGTCCTCGTCCTCGTCCTCGTCGTCCTCGTCGTCCTCGTCGTCGTCCTCGTCGTCCTCGTCGTCCTCGTCGTCCTCGTCCTCGTCGTCGTCGTCGTCGTCGTCCTCGTCCTCGTCGTCGTCCTCGTCCTCGTCGTCGTCGTCGTCGTCGTCGTCCTACGTCGTCGTCATCGTCGTCGTCGTCGTAGTAGTAGTAGTAGTGGTAGTGGTAGTCGTAGTGGTAGTCGTAGTAGTAGTAGTAGTAGTAGTTGTAGTCGTAGTAGTAGTAGTAGTACTAGTAGTAGTAGTAGTAGTAGTAGTTGTTGTTGTTGTGGTAGTAGTAGTGGTAGTAGTAGTAGTAGTGGTAGTAGTAGTAGTAGTCGTAGTCGTAGTAGTAGTAGTGTAGCAGTAGTAGTAGTAGTAGGAGTAGGAGTAGTAGTCGCAGAGCAGTAGCAGTAGCAGTAGCAGTAGCAGTAGCAGTAGTAGTAGCAGTAGCAGCAGCAGCAGCAGCAGCAGTAGTAGTAGTAGTAGTGGTAGTGGTAGTAGTAGTAGTAGTGGTAGTAGTGGTGGTGGTAGTAGTGGTGGTAGTAATAGTGGTAGTGTTAGTGGTAGTGGTAGTGGTAGTGGTAGTCGTCGTCGTAGTAGTCGTAGTAGTTGTAGCCGTAGTAGTAGTAGTCGTAGTGGTAGTCGTAGTGGTCGTGGTAGTAGTAGTAGTAGTATTAGTAGTAGTAGTAGTGGTAGTAGTAGTAGTAGTAGTGGTAGTAGTCGTATAGTAGTGGTAGTAGTAGTTGTAGTAGTAGTAGTAGTAGTGGTAGTAGCAGTAGTAGTAGTGATGGTGGTGGTAGTAGAAGTCGTAGTGGTAGTGGTAGTAGTAGTAGTAGTAGTAATAGTAGTAGTAGTAGTAGCGGTGGTGGTAGAAGTGGCGGTTGTGGTGGTAGTGGTCGTGGTAGTCGTCGTAGTCGTGGTAGTGGTCGTAGTGATGGTAGTAGTGGTGGTAATAGTACTGGTAGCGGTGGCGGTGGTAGTGGTAGTGGTGGTAGTAGTAGCAGTAGTAGTAGTGGTAGTGGTAGTGCTAGTGGTAGTGGTAGCGGTAGCGGTAGTGGTGGTAGTAGTGCCAATGGTGGTGGTAATAAGTAGTAGTAGTAGTCGTCGTCGTCGTCGTGGTGATGGTGGTGGTGGTGGTAGTGGTAGCAGTACTAATGGTGGTAGTGGTCGTGGTAGTCGTCGTAGTCGTGGTAGTGGTCGCAGTGGTGGTAGTAGTGGTGGTAATAGTAGTGGTGGCGGTGGTGGTTGTGGTGGTGGTCATAGTACTAGTACTAGTAGTAGTAGTAGTAGTAGTAGTAGTGGTAGTAGTAGTGGTAGTAGTAGTGGTAGTAGTGGTGGTAGTATAGTAGTAGTAGTGGTAGTAGTAGTAGTGGTAGTAGTCGTAGTAGTGGTAGTGGCAATGGTAGTGGTAGTGGTAGTGCTAGTGGTAGTGGTAGTGGTGGTAGTAGCGCCAATAATGGTGGTGGTAGTAGTAAGTAGTAGTAGTAGTAGTAGTAGTAGTAGTAGTAGTAGTAGTAGTAG